ACAGCTGCCCAACAGAGGCTGTAGGCAGAGGGTTTCCCCCTGCCCACACACTGCGGAGCAGCTCATGGTTCTTAATGCCAGAACAGAGCAGGGCTTGTTTGTAAGGCTCTTGTGGAAAGGACAGCACTGGTGTTAACATGTACACTGCAAAATAGGAGGTATAGCAGAGTGGGTATGAGACAGATGCAGATTTTTCTAAAGGGAAAGAGAACAAAAATCTTACAAAAGGCTATCTGTAGGACCGAGAAGTAAGGTTGAGTGAAAAGAAGGGAAGGAAGAGCTGAACTGCTTTCCCTGATACACCTGAGCATCATGCCTTCAGCCTACACCATGAGATACACGGTGTTCATGACGGTCTTGCTCCTGAAATGAAAAGGTGACGTCCAGAGCATACGGCTTCCAACAGCACAGGGAGCTGGAACGCCCTGCGAAAGGCAGCTTTAATCTCTCAGCTGTCTCCCAGTGTCCATCAAACACCCAGAGCTCTTGGCTCCTTCCTCCACACGAGGAATAATGGGACAGTCAACTAACATATCCAGATGGCTCAAAGCGAGCATATCAAGGCAACAGGTTTCCAATTTTAAACAGGCTACTGTCTGTCCTGGCAACCTCACTGCCAACACGCCCGGGCTGCACTGAAACATGAATTTACTGCTTTATAGGTCCCAGGAGCACACTAAAGTCCTGCAGAAAATAAACGCTGACACAAAAAGATTATACTCAGAGAAAGGCCACGGAAAATAGAAGTTTTGAAAGAGGGAGGTCTAACACTGTGAAGCTGCACAGAGAAAAGGGACCACAAAGAAACACCCTAGGGATGAGAATAAGTGAGCTCACCCTCACCCATAGGGGTTACTCACACCCATCTCTTAAAGGCTAGGCTGAAAAACAGCAGTGACAGACAGCAGCACCACCATACCAAGTGACTGTGGTGCTAAAAAGATAGCTCAAAAGAAACATGAGGGGCTGGAACAGGTGCTGCTTGAGGACAAATATTTCGCCAGCCAAAATCTACAATAGAGGGGAAGCTAGGAAATGTGGTACGGTTTGTGTCAGAAGCGCAGGCTAGCCTAAAATAAAAGCATCTGTTCAAGAGGAGGAAAGTGTGTTATCACGCACCACGGGAGGTATGGCTCAGCCAGACTGAGGATGATCACAGAGCACACAGCAACATCAAATTAGTTTGAGAGCCTTCCTACCCTAAGTAAGGCATAAAGCAGACAAAACAAATCTTGAAAAATAAAATTAAAGAGCAGGATTTTCTGAGTGTACTGTGGGCCCTGAAAGACATCTCCTATTTATCTCTTCGGAGCACAGGCACTACAGCACAGTGCTGTACAAGGAAGTACCAAGACACCACTCCAGAGGTGAAAGGGAACGCTATCCTCAGGTACAAGTGGGTTACAATTTGAAGTGCGCTCGATTTTCATCTCCTTTTTCCACGCTAGGGAAGGGCCAGCATGCTGAAAGGTCAACGTATTACAGAAGGAAGCTTCTGTCAATAAAATCCTTCGTGTACAACTCACTGTCCAGAGTGAGGCAGCACACTAAGCCTACCCAGACAATTAAGGATGAAGTTACTCTCTCAAGTTTCAGCCTAGGACTAAAATCAGATCCGAAGAAGATCCATCAAGCTTGTTCTCTCCAGCAACATGTTCCTTTTCGTAAATTTGTGGCCTAGTACATACTTGCTCCTGGATTATGTTGCATGCTGGCAACACACTCAGTTCTTGTTAAACAAATCGCAATAGTCAGATAGATCTCTGCATGTACTCGTTTTGACCAATGCAACAGCAACACCAAACCAGCAGGCTGACAGCCCGTCCTGCTAGGTAAGACGGAGGCATCCAAGCTGCAAGACCCTCGTAAAGCCGTTCCTTTTGGAAATAGGTTTTGATCATATGGACCACGAATCTTTCTCACTAGATTTCAAAACAGTACAGGCTACAGAGCAACTGTAGGATTGTTGTTTCAGTGGTAATTGATCTATTTGCACTGTCATAACTTCCCAGAAACACAAGATGTGCCAGACAGCACCTAAAAGGCCAGGAGCGAAGCGCTTCTGAACACTGGGGGACTCAAACAAGGGAGAGAATTCACAAAACCTCCTGATTCTGAAGAAGAGAGAAACCCAGAGGCAGGCAAACACCTTGCATGGCCCCGTTGGGCCACTCCTCATCCCTTGTCCAGGGGTGACCTGGAGGAACGAGCAGCATCTCCTCCGCACCTCCAGCACCACCGTGGCCGGTGCGAATACAAACCTGGGTGCGCGAGGCCTGCCTCTGTCAGCATCTAGCAAAAACTAATACAAAATCCACCAGAGGAAGACTTAGTTGCAGGTTACGCGGGACGTGGTTTAGCGGGTGACACTGGCAGCAGGGTGATGGCTGGACCTGATGGTGTTGGAGCTCTTTCCTAGCCTGGCCCAGATGATGTTGGAGCTCTTTCCTAGCCTTAATGCCACGAGGTGTCCTGACAAACTCGGACAGGAGTTCGAGGAGGGGGAGATGAGCGTTATAAGAGCAGCAAAGCCCCTGCTACGGGGAGCAGGGCTTCTCCCCAGCCTCCCCACCACCCTTTTCCCTCAGAGGGGACCCCATTACTCACAGCAGGGCCATCAGCCGTGGTGTAGCGGACGATGACCTGGAAGGGCTGGTGGGGCTGGAGGGCAGCGGGCAGCGAGAGCGTGAGGGCCGAGCCGTAGTCGGTGAAGGGATCCACTCTGAAACCCAACGGGCAGGCGGCGGCCGGAGGCTGAGCGAAGACGGGCAACGGCGGAGGGGGCTCGACGGCGGGCGGGGGGCTACCGGGAGGGTCCCCGAGGGGATCCCCGGGGGGAGCGGCGATGCAGGGAGCCGAGAGGAAGGTGGCGGTGGCCGGAGGGTTGGCGGAGCAGGGAGGCGGCGGCGGAGGGCAGGGAGGCGGCGGTGGAGGCGGTGGAGGCGGCGGAGGAGGAGGCGGCGGAGCCGGGGAGGCCTCGGAGGGGGAGAAGGAGAAGGAGCAGGGAGCTTCTCCGAGCGGAGCCCGGCGGTAGGAGGCCGAGAGGACCCTGAGGGCCGGGTGGACGTCCAGCACCAGGGAGCTGGGCTGGGGGCGCAGGGCGCAGAGCTCCAGCACCAGGCAGCCCGCCAGCGCCCGCGCCTCGGGCCGCAGCTCCAGCCCCAGGTGCAGGTGGCGGAGGCCGAAGAGCTGCGAGCTGGAAGCCGAAGCCACGTCCGGGGGAGGCTCGGGAGGAGGCTCGGGAGGTGCCGGTGGAGCCTCAGGACCGGCGGCGGAACCTTTGCGGCAGCAGCAAAGGCCGGGAGGCCGCGGAGCCGGAGCCGCCATGGAGCGGTGGAGGAGGAGGAAGAGGAGGAAGAAGAAGAAGGAGAAGGAGGAGGAGGAGGAGGAGGAGGAGGCCGGTGCTATGTGAAATCCATGGGCAGGGCAGGCGGGGGGGGGAGGCACAGCGGCCGGAGAGACCGGGGCGGGGAAGGGAAGGGAAAGGAAGGGAAAGGGAGGGGAAGGGGCCGAGGGGAGCGCGCAGGGCCCGGGCCCGGAGCTGGCGGAGCTGGGGCTCGGCCGCCGGGCGGAGAGGAGCCGGCGGGGGGCGCCCGAGGCCGGCCCCGCCCCGGACACCGGCTGCGTGCGCACCGGGGGGGCCCCACGGCACCCACAGCACCCCCGGGATGCCCCCCCCCAAAGGCCCAGCCCCGGCGGTTTGGCCCCCCCTGCCCTGCTCTCCCGTGGGTGCTGCCTCTTGGACACCCCCCGGTGCCGGCCCCACGCCCCCCGTGCGCCTCCTCCCTTTTTTTTTGCTCCCCTTTTGCAGCCAGGTCCCAGCTCAGCCAAGCCCCGCTGCCCTCTTCCCCAGCCCTGCTGCTGCAGGCAGGCAGGCACACGCCACCCGCTGCTGCTTTCCTAAATTGGAGAGGCCAGGCTGCGTGTTTTTTTTTTTATACAACCGCCTGGTTTTGTGTGTGTGGAGGGACTGAGCTGGAAGGAAGGGTGCTGCTGGCACCGTGCAGCCCTAGAGCGGCATACAGGAGCTCAGCCTGGCCCCGCGTATTGTTCCGTACATTATTTCCACTCTGCCTACCTCAGCCCTCCCCCCCCCCCGCTGAATCTCCAAGGCATGTCTTTGGATGACACAGGAACATTTATTACATGGTTGTGGGTTTAACGAACCCGTAGTGGTGCATTCTCAAAGCCTCCCAAGCCTTACAGTAGTGGCAGCAGCATTACATCATGTTCCAGTTGAGTGTCCATTCACGTCATACTCAGGGGGGAACTGTGGCACCAGCACAACGCGGCTGCCACCTCCCGCTGAAGCAAGGGCAAAACAAATCACAGAATTATCCCAGACCTAGGTGAAGCTGGGACTATAAAGAAAACCTTTGTGATTGGTCATAGTAAAACACACTATGGTTGCGGTAAAAAAACAAGGCAACATTCAGAAAAGTTCTTTGGCTGATAAGGGCACTACAACTACCCTGCATCTTTTCATTATATTCTTCTGAAGCATCTTCAAGAAACAATTTTGTCCTCTTCCAGTCCCTTTTTAAAAGGAATTTTTTGTCCTGACATTTTTACTCCACATCCTCCCCTTACAAAGCAGATTTTCTGCACTTACCCTTTCCTCTTGCTACCTTTCTCCTCGTCTCATTCATACAATTTGCCTTTTAAAATAATAGCGCTTTCTCCTTTTTTTATTCCCAGCAATGTTCTAAGACTGCCTGATCTCTGGGTTTCATCTAGGGGCACAGTATACAGACCACAGCCCCAGCCCCTCTGGATCTGACCGTATATGACCTTCCCCATAGGGCATGGTGAAGCTCCCTCGGCATTCAAACTGGCACAACTTCGGGGCCTGACTTTGGACTCAATTATACCAATCTAATTGCACATTAATGCCACTGGGCAATTTTAGAAAACTCCTACCTCCATTTTGATTGACATCGCAAACAAGCACAGTGTTCCCACTCAGGCGAGATCAGACAAGCAGAAACACATCCTAAGAGTTTCTAAACTTAGGATAATGAATCAGGATCTATTGCACTCGCTTGTGTCTGAACAAAATGGATGCAACTAAATTCCCAAGGCCCATACAGCAAACACGAAAATTATTTGAAGTAAATCTCTCTCAAGTCACCCATCTGTTGGTCTTGGGCCATGTCCTTTGCTATGTAAGAAGGATGTGTTATCTTCGTGCTATTTTGGGTAAGATCCCTTTAAGGAAATTCCCAGTCCCGGTCCTACAGTCTCATTCTGCTCCTTGCAGGGTGAAATCTCTGGGGTATCACACTACACATTCTAATGCAGGACCCGATTTCTGAAAGTTCCCATCATCAACAACCCCTCGTAGAACACTTCAAAAGAGATATTTCGGTCTCGTTGTAAATACGTGTGTTTCTTCTTTCCATGTCAGTGACAGGGCTCTGGGCCAGGTTTCAGCTTGCTCCTATGGTTCAGGACGAAAGCCAGTAAAATTTACTGCTACCCAAACGAGAAGCAATACTTCCGTACTATCTGTGAGACAAGTGCCAAACGAAGCAGTTAAGAGATTACAGCAGAAGGAATGTTTCTTCTGGCAGTTTATCTCCTTATATCTAAAGTAACAATGCTGGGACTGAGGTTTAATGACACAGTTGAGCTAATCCCTGCTGTCCACATGTCACCATTTGCCTGCTCCATTGCAGACACTTGTTTAATATCTCGAGCTATTTCAGCTCACTGAAGCAGCAAAAAAAGTATTCACCATTTTAGGAGAGCATGACTGGTAAGCAGCAGTTCGATGCAATGAATCCTGAGCACGGTTTCCTCTCATAGCTAAGCTAGTGTGATAGTTAGCACCTACTAAAACAAGCAGCCCCGCTTCGCCTCCCTTCCAGGTGTGCCTTGCTGTCTCCTCCTTTGTACAGCATTCCTGCTTTTGGAAGGTGAACTTTCTGCAAGTTAGCTTTCTGAACTGGCTCACTGCTGGACCAGGCAAGAGCCAGTGCTGGCATCGACAAAGTTGGAGGAACTCCCAGCCTGGAAGAAGAAGGAGGACAAGATCAGGATTGCTCCTTGTGACCAGACTGCCAATAGCTCAGGCTTAGCTGCAAAACGAAGTCACACTTTGACCCCAGTGGCACTTGAACAGTTGGTACATTAGCCCTTTTTTTCCTTTTTTTTTTTTTTTTTTTACTCAAGGCAAATACCAAAGTTCATGGGGATAGAGTCAGCAGAGTCAGTTCTGCAGGGCCCAAGACAACACAGCTGCAAATGACAACTGACTGAACTTCTAACCAGTCTTAGGCAGACACATTCCATGCTCTCTCCCTCTTTAATGTATGCAGCTTTCATCTTCATGTTGTACCAAATCTACTTTTAGGAAATAAGCAGGGCATTACATCTGTGGCCCAGCACCCCTGCTCCCTCCAGCTTGTTTTCATCCTTAACTTCTTAGTCAGAAAAGAACACCCCCCTCCACTTAGCTAGGTGCTCTTTGGAGAGAGATCCATTACCTGTCCCTTTGAATTGAGGCACACTGAGTAAAACAGTGGTCAGCACCTGCCACAGAGTAAGCTTGGTCTCAGGCCAGTAAGCAGGGTAAGATCTGTGCTACTTAATTCTTGCTCAGGACAAGACTTAAGTACAACAAATAATGCTTTATGTGCTGCTACCTTCAAGCTACAGTCTAAGCTCTGTTCACGGTATGGTTTTGCCTGTGATAGCGGTAGACAGAAATGCTCTTTGCTGTGACTTTGCAGTCACGTCACATTATTTACAGTAACACCCGTAGGTGAAAAATGTGGAAAAATCTTGGCTAAGAAGGATCTTCTGTATTCCATCTGACCTCCCTCTTGCTACTTGGCCTGAATACTTGTACTATAAACTATTACTCCCTGTCCTACTCAACACAAACATACATAGCAAGCCACCCCCGTGCTGGAAGGCACAAAATTTACCCACCACGTTTTTAAAGAAACTTACACTCCAAAGGAAAAAAAAAAATCAGGCCAAAGTGCATAGCCAAAAAAAAAAAAAAAAAAAAAAAGCCTGCAAAACTTCCCCTAGGGCTTAGAACGGTGAGAAGTGATTTATGTGCTCAAAACAAACCACTTAAGCCAATAAAATTTACAAAACCCAAAATAGTTTTATTTACTTTTCAGATTTTTGCCTCGACGAGACATTCTGCAAACATGCTAAGGCTACAAAATGTCCAAGTTGACAAAGACATGCAACGCTGACCATTCAATAAGTCACGGCTATTATAGGAGCGACCATGCCCACCTGGGCCACAGGTCCCATAAAACAGGGATGGTGTACAGTGATCATGGCAACGTACTACACAGGACCTAGTAACCTGAGGTAGGTCTCTTCACAGTAAGAAAACAACATCCTACACCAGTGTTACATCCTGATCAGCAGGAACCTGTTTAAAGCTCCAGAAGATGTGGGGTGGGGGACTGTTTCCTTAACAAGTGTGCAATAAAGAAACAGGAAATACTCATGTTGTTTAACCTTAGTGTAAGTTAGCAGAACAAAGAGTTAGTGTTACCCATGCCAACGAAAGCCAACCTAAACCTCTGAGGAGTGTTAGCAGCTTCAAGATAAAGGAGTCAGTCAGCTGGAGCAACTTTGGAAAGGCTTTCCTGCTAGCATACAGGGTACAATTTGAACCTTGCAATTAATTTGTTATACATCATTCCATGAACAGTTTGATTTTGGTTGTGTTAGATCAGCGAAGCAGGAAGAGCTTGGCTTTGCTTGCATTAAAATAAACTCTGCTGATACAGTAAGAAATACTATATCAGGACACTGAGAAAATATGAGGCCTTAACGTGACCCAAAAGTGGTTGTCCACTCAAGAGATCACTAAAAACCCTGCTTTGGGAAAGCATTATGGGAAGCAGCAGCCGCTGCCGTGGTGAACATTAGCGATGCTCCAAATAGCTTTGATAAATTACAATGCAATAGAGTTACACCACAGTGCTCTTCTCCCCTGTGCTAGACAACAATAATGTGACAATAAAGGACACTATTGCAAAGCTTCACTTTCACTCAGACACGCAGAAAATCTGGCACTAGGAAAAGACCAACTGTAAGAGACAAAATGGTGTCTGATACAGTCTGATTACAAAGCCAGATCTCTGGTACCATAAACTGTACAAAAATGATAGAAAAGAATATGCACTGTTATTAATACAGTGCTTATTTTAATATAAAATAAACAGCTTACATTTCCACTGTAAATATAGGCTATATACAGAATTATGTATAGATATAGCTACATGTATAAAGCTTCATTATAGGCCTCTGATACATTTATAACTATGGCTCCCTGAGCCATTTGTAGAGTGCATTTAATAACAAAAAATTAGTAATATGATTATGGAATAAATACAATAATAAAAACATGAAGAATTCTTCTGACATGGTTTTAAAAACTCTCTGGCTTGACACATTGTGCTAAAAATTAAAAGATGAAAAGGCAATAATCTGCTTGGAGGAGGACGAGGAGGAGGAGGAAGAAGAGCTGGTCTGCCACAGGCAGGGAGTGCAGCTCTCCAAAATTAAAGTGACTTTGCCCTGAATTTTAGCCCTTGACAGCGACCTTGTTCTCCGCAGCAGCAAACATAGCATAGAAGCGTGAGTTCTCATTAGCCAGAAGGGCAGACGGCGTATCAAATTCCACTACCTAAAAAACAAACAAGGCAGGTAATATGTTAGCAAAATACAGCAGAAAATGGATTCCCACCCCCTTCCGCTTGTAACTTGGTAGCAAAGAAGCCAAAATATGACAGTCTTTAGATGAGACAACAGATGGTGAAAGCATGTGCATTTATGCACACATACTGTAACCTTGGATGCTTCAAGCTAAATTAGACAAATGGTGGGACTACCCAGCAGGAAGCAACCTCTGGTGGCTCTGGCAAACAGACTGAGGCAGATGCTGTGTTTTTTTCCTTTCTCTACCTCCAAGAGCCTTGCCAAATGTTCCTACATTTGATTTAAGTGTTTATGGCTCCCACGTGGAAGCCCGAGAAGTGGGTAAAGTATCTCTCAATGCCTGTTTGATACCACAGTGCTTTACAAACACAATAGAAAAGTGCCACTGAGCTCCCTTAGAGATGCTTACGTTATTACACATACCAGAATTAAACCTACAAAGGATATTTTAAAACCCTTTAAAAGAGACTGTTGCCCTGCAGTACTTTCTTGGAGTGGAAAAGGAATTTTCTCCTCTTTGATCTTGTCATGGTGAGGCAATAATTGATGCTGTTGGAAAGTTATTACTAGGGATATGAATGAATACACATGATTTTCTACCCTGTAATAGCAGCTGTTCCTTCAGTCTAGCCTACACCTATACAAAACAGACTGCAATAGGAACTGAAGCCACAGAAGTCTGCTTACCTGTCCTTGTGTTAGCACCATGATCCGATCAGAACCCAGTACAGTATGCAGACGATGAGCAATCGTTAACATAGTGCAATCTGCAAATGCCTCTCTGATAGTCTCCTGAATCAGTAAGTCTGTCTCTGTGTCCATAGCAGCTGTTGCTTCATCCAGTATCAAAATCTGAAAGTAGAGCACAATTGTGGCTTTTAATTCACAGCAACTCCTTCCCTCCCTGAACATCAGTATATGCAGAGTGGACAAGAATTATCATGACAAGGAATTGCCACAACTGGCAGTCTTTACAGAGCTGCAGTCACAAAGGTACTTTTGACAATCATCCTTTCAGTTTGCCTTATGTAATCACCTTCACTGAAGTTATCATACAGATTACACTTACATTTTATGGTCACATCCTACAGCCACAAGACTGTTGCATTCTGACCTGGCCACAGGTTTCTACTATTTTCATTTTTATATTCAGCAGCTAAATCCCAAATGCAATTTTTTAAGAGGTAAACTAATTGCCCTGTCTTTGGCAGTGATAGTTCCTTCTGGAGTCAGTCAGGACCAACTTGGCTTGCTAGCTTTCTTAGGCTAGGAACAACTACCCTCCCCTCTGACTCAATCAAAAAGTTCTTTCTCTCTCACATTATTATTTGGTTTCCATTCTCAAAACAAACAAACAAAAAATTAACTTTGCATGGTCCCAAATTTCACTTGTAGACTACATTTTAGTAGAACACCATGCTTGGCTGAACTTTATCAAAAAGTGAAAGAAGGAAAGAATCTGATGCTCACCAGTACCAGTATGGACTCTCTGGATAAATGACTAAGCCAGTCTGGCACGCTGTAATAACACCAACAACCAATACTTTCTGACGACAAGACTTCACAGCAGCTACAGATGCCTTTCCTAGTTGTTCTAACACTGTCTGTGGTGTAAATGCCTGAAGTAACTAGGAAAATAGAACTAACATTCACATTTTTAAGGAAAAGGTACAGCTTTGAAGAGGCTTTCAGGGTAGGGCATAACTGCATTATCTGAGCATTCCCTAGGCTCCCAACCTTAGATGCTATCGCGCTGGGGAAACTTGGTGTGCTAGCTCTAAGGAACACCACGGAGCATAGAGTGGAGTGGAGACACCACGGCTAGGCTCTGTAATCAGGTGGGGCCTCGATCGTTATTGTGCACAAAGCTGCACTTTTTGCCACCCTAAGCCAAAGACCTGTCATGTTTTGACAAATGCTGTACCCTAGTGTACTTTTTGCTCATTATAATATCATTATAATACCAAAACACACCTCCATCCCAAAAGCTACCCGCCTCCAAGGTGCGACCACCCCTCACTGAGCATGCGCTCTGAATTTCTCGGAGCCTATTACTTTAAACGGAAACGGGAAAACTTTACACCAATCATAACTAAGATATGCTTGACTAGAGCCACTCAAGCTCCACCTAAAAGATAGAAAGTAATATAAATTGGCCCAAGAGAGAGGGGATGTTGGGGAAGATACCATCGTCAGGGGAGATACCATCCCAAGGACATACAACATCCTTAGGACCTCCTGACTCCTGGGATCAGTCGACGGGCTGAGCCTCTCTTCCCCCCCCATTGGGACGCCTTTGGGTGAGATCTGAATATTTGCTTATAAATCTCTATAGAGTCTTTGATCCTTTTAACGCGTTTATTTCTAGGCTGCGCACCTAGAACACCTACAACACCTACCTAGAACCCACACCTAGAACCCACACCTAGAACCCACACCTAGAACCCACACCTAGAACCCACACCTAGAACCCACACCTAGAACACACCTAACACACCTAGAACACACACCTAGAACACACACCTAGAACACCTGTAACACCTGTGTATTTCATGCATACTAGCTTGCTTTTGCAGATAGTCACTATCACCGGCAATCCAAAAGAACCTGATTATCTGTTGCTGTAATAAACCATACTTGATTGCATTGTGATAGCTCTCATTAATGCAACTAGGGTGAGGGTGGTTATCCGTGATAGTTCAGTGTTCTGAATCTAACCAGACCCCCAGACGGTTAATGCATTGTTGGTGAATGTCTGAACGGACCCCCAGGTGGTTAATACGTTTTTGGTGAATGTCCGAACGGACCCCCAGTTTTGGTGAATGTCCGACTGGTTCAGTACTCTGAATCCAAACGGGCCCGTAACGGTTAATCAGCTACACCCCTTTAACGCGACACTGTCTCTGAGTTGCAGTAACTGTTGGTATGACTACTCTGACCGACGAATTCAACAAAAGAAGCCCCTTTCCTCGAAGCTGGTGATATCAAACTGGTAGCAATTTTTCTCATCGATACGCTCACCTTGCAACGACGCAGTAGAGCTCTAGCTATGCACAGTAACTGTCTCTCTCCAACTGAAAAGTTTTCTCCGTTTTCCATTACTTCTGAGTCAAGTTTCATAGGCAGCTGGGCAACCTGTGTGGGAAAGAATAGTCAGAGAACTTTGATAGCTGCACAGTTTTTTTTGTTTCTCCACGGTATGAGACAAACAGTTGCTCCTCCTGCTAATCTGATGTTGCCTATGTTCCAAAATATCCATCACACTTTGCTAGCTCACACTCTGTTGAAAGAAGTAGTAACAAACAACTAATGCTAGAACAACAATACAACATTAGACCTGCTTGGTTCAGTTAAAATGCCTTTGGCTTGGTGATGGCAGCTGAAAACACCACAACTAACCCGGATGCAATATACCCTCTCAGTAGGCAACCTTAGAATGGCTTAAGTACAAAACATTTGATTTCTAGAAAAAGCATGCCAGGTACAAAATCCTATTAGCATTAATACAGATCTGGCCACTCGTGTTGAGAAAGACTAAGAGTGGACCTCCAGGAATCAGGATGTCTCTGCAGGAATTACAGCCCAGGTACTGCAGTCACAGCTACACACGTAGCCTTGTGCCACCTAACAAGAGTTTGAAATGTCACAACAGTAAGATTTGCTGCAGAGGGCCTCACAAAGGGCAGATTTTATACTCAGTAAGCATGTGCGACATTTACACTCACAAATGTAAATGCAGAATGCACAACTACATAAGGCACACAGAAAAAAATATCACTTCTGAAATACTGTAAAACCAGAAGAGTCCCTGTGATGAGGCAACACTCTACTATGCTACATGCCAAGAAGTACACATCTGAAATATGGCATGTTCTCCAAAAATTGTCTCATTATTAGAAACAAAACAGCAAGTTATGGAAAAAAACATGGAGACAGAACTTTACTGAAGATCTCCTAATTAGCCAGTAGAAGAATATGCAGCTTTGAAAGACAAAATACAAACAAGTATCTCATAGACATGATAATACTTACACACTCCTTCATGTGAGTCCTTTCCAAAGCATCCCAGATTTGCTCCTCACTGTACTGATTGAAAGGATCCAAGTTGGATCTGGAGTAGGAAGCAGAAAACATAACCTTTTTTTTTTCCAGCAATAAATAGCAAAACAGCAGTGTGCTAATTCATCCAGATGGACAGTTCCCATCTAGTACTCCACTGACAGAATTTCCTTGCCAAGGAAATCAGATGCTCCCAGCACACTAAGGAAGCCAAACAACAGAAGAGTGAAGATGGAAGACAAAGATGCAAAATTTCCAGTAATGTTAAAGGAAAGGAGGTCTATGGAGGATCACATCCAGTTCTGTATTGAACCAGCTAAAACCATTTACCCGTGCTTTTTCTTTTTGTTTCAACAAAGTACAGCAACCAGAAAGCCTTTGTTCCACTCAAAAACTACCATTTCATATGAGTTCGTTATGAGCTGGTAGCCTTCTTTGTCCTTCTTGCCTTTTTTTTTTTTTTAAATGGTCTCACTAACCTTACAGTGCCACTGAATAGCACAGGTTCCTGAGGAATTATTGACAGTTTGCTGCGAAGATCTGCCAAACCAATGTCATTTATTTTCACTCCATCAATTTTAATGCAGCCTCCAGACAGTTCAACCAAACGAAAGAGTGCCATTCCAAGGGAAGACTTCCCTAAAAATGAGACAGAAGAACATACTAGTGCTTCTAAACAATCCTAACAGCCATCTGAGATGAGACAGCATTTTAAAACCTGTCCTTGTGTAAGATTAGCATCTTAAATTACCATAAAGTGCCAGTAAACAATTTTTTAACTAACTGCTAGGGTTCAGCATTTAAACTTCTAAGCAATATTAATTGCATATTTAGAAGCTCCATTTTGGAGGTGGTGTAAACCCTTCTACAATCAGACATTTTGATTTTTGGCATTACAAACTTCTGAGACAGCTTAGCACCAAACCTGGCTGCAGCATCAGTACAAATAAAAATTCTTTCAAGACAGTCAAATAAGCTGCAATGAGCACGCTGTAGGTAGCATTCTGTGCTGGTAAGTAGCTCAGGGTATTAAATGTTATGAGCATACTGACTCAGGCAGAGTAGGAGGTGCCTCTATTTTAAAAGGAAAATTGTTTTCATTGTATATGGGGATCCTTCCTACATATGTACACAAACAGAATCCACCACTGACATGCTGCTGGACCTCTCTTGCGCAACTAATTCATTCAAACACAGAGAGGGCAGAGAAGAACCAAACTGTCTTGCTCTGTTCCCATTCTATAAATGCAGTATTTTAACTCTGCTTAGTGCTTTTCCTTACCTGAGCCTGTCCTTCCCACAATGCCAATCTTTTCCTTTGGTTTGATGGTGAAGGACACTTTTTTAAGTACTAGAGGGAGATTTTCTCGGTACCGCATCTCTGCATTTTCAAAAGCAACTTCGCCTTCCTGTGGCCAGTCCAGAGGGGGAGTTTTATTCTTAATTCGAGCAGGAGCTTCCAATGAAAGAGTCTTTAAAAGAAAAACAAAAGTTCTGTTTCCAGTAAACGAAGCACCAAAGAAGAAAATTGTCAGATGAAACTTTCAACAGCTCACTGCAGACTCAGCCCATATCAGTTTAAGGGAGTTAAGATGAATAAAGTGACTGGATATACGCCCAGTGATTCAGAAGCAATTTCTCAGATCTTACACCAGCAACAAACAACGAGAAATCTTATAACATGCAGCCGAACATGTTGTTGTCTTACCTTGATATAGTGATCAATCCTCTCCACTGAGGTGAAGCGAGCTTCTGTTTCTGAAGCAAGTCTGACTGTAAACTGGAATAACCCTGTTAACTGTAGTGATGAGAAGAAATTAAGAAAAAATTAGAGACTTGACTGATTTTTTTTTTAATTGAATTAAAAGACTAGCCTGCTGAATACTTGATACTCTTGTCTTGTGCACCCTATGGTTAATTTTAAAATAACCTTAATTTATGAATCACTTGGAAAGACAGAGACTTCAAAGGTTTTCTCACAAGCAACAGCTTGAAATCTTAGCCACCTAAGTTTTGTAATTTTTCTTTATTACCACCAGGAGGCAGAAAAGGCCAAGCAACAGATCTAATAACAAGCATTCTGAGCCACGAAACAAATCTAACCCACACAGTTAGGAACTGGATGCTGTGCACTGTGAAAACATACAGCAAGCAATACACCAGAATGCATTAAGACATCAGCTTGACGTTTAAAAAAAAAAAAAAGCAGCTTTCCGAAACAGTATCCTAAAGCACTTAGCTCCTCATCGTTTTTCATGCTAGCAAAAGGTCCTGACCCTGAATTGTCTTCCCCCATCGCTACAAAAGGATCATCTTTTCCCATTTTGGTGCATTAAGGAAAGTTTTCAGTCTGTTTCATTGCAGGTACTTAACACTAACAAGTAAAAGTGAAACTAAACCATGCAGACAATGCTCACCTGCACAGCATATGAGATAGCCAGCCCAGCATACGCAGGAGGAATCTGGCCATGCATTAGAACAATCATAAGGCCAGTGGTTGTGATGAGAGCGATGCTGATAATGTCCAGCCGTACAGCTAGCCAGCGCATTGCACAGCTGAACAGGTAAAACGGTGCCTGATTATCATCTAGAAGCTCCTGATACCTGAAACACATATAGAAAATGTTAGTAGACCTCAGTGAGTCTGAAGTTGTACAAATAACAGAGTTGCTTTCATCCCTGCAACAATATGACTTATGTAGGGGGTGAATCAGAATTCCACAAGATAGCACACTTTCACCCCACCTTCACCAATGCAAGACCTGCCAGAGGATGCTCGATGGCTACAAACTATTCCACATGTAACAGCAGAAGTGTTTCAAAATATGAACAGAACATGCTATTTTATAGTCAGTGTAAATGTAAAGTTACAGTAAGGATTTAAGAGGATTGATGACATTAATCACTAAGACACACCAATAACTATTTAATTTACAATCCTGAGCCTGTGGACCTGAGGAATTTAATGGGAGACACATGAGATATTCACAAAACTTAGTTACTAGGTTTTCTGATCTTGCAACTCAGTTTCACACCGATCACTGTTGCACTGTGGGGAGAGCCCTCCTGACCTATTTCACTTAAGCCACTGTGGCAGTGCCTTCACAGAACCTCTGTAACAATTTTCACTGTGCTCCCACACAGCTGGTCTCATGACCTTGTACCTGCAAAACCCCAATATTGTTATTGCAGGTTCTCATGGGAAGCAAATACCACTCATGGGAGAGATGTCTCATTTTCCCTCGCTATCATTTGTTTTGCAGGCCGTATAGTAGAGAAAACCAAACAGTCCACAACAAGGCAGGATAATAGCTGATAAAATGCTATCCAATAGTCTCTGTGCACAGAGATACATGCAGCTCATCAGTATGCAAACAGAGGCTTGGTTACCACACTAATGCTAACAGCATCACCAGCAGAACCAACAAATAGGGAGTAGGAGGAGAACCTGATGAAAAGCATACAGTACTAAAGAAAAAGTACGTCCAGAAAATTGTCCTCATCATTAGCATCGATACCTGCTACACTGGGGAGAACACCGTAGGAGGGCACTCATCTGGGACTCCATCACTGTTATTCCCAGTTGGCTACTAGGCAGGTTTTCCCTTTCAATTCTCCTCGTTCTCCCTCATTTTTTCCCCCAAAAATAACTTTAACTGCTAAACCCAATGTATGTTGTCAGCTAAAGACCCCACTAACAAATCTTAGACTGCAAAGCTGTCACACCCTACTTTGTGCTCCACCACTCTCAGCTGGCTATCTAGACTGACCTGTGCAGGAATTCTTGTCCTTTGTTGTAGGCATGGATTGTCGACAGACCCTGTATGCTAGATGTAATGTGAGACAGGAACGGAGACTGTGTGATGTTGTCCAGACGCTTGAGCTCTCGAATAAAGACTCTGGAGGGAAAGACACACTTTTAAGTGATAAGTATACCCACCACATACAACCACAGTACTGATGCATATATACTCGAGGAACCCCACGTCACTAGTAACAGGTCAAAGCATCTCCACTTTTAGTCAAAGCAGCTGATGCACTTACCTAGACACAACATGCAGAACTGTGAACAGGACAATGAGAGGCCCCACTGCCACCAGGAACCAGGGGAAAACTCCAGAAATCACCCCCACACAGAAGAACACAAGGATGACATTCTGGATGAACATTTCTGCTTGAAATGGCAAACGAACGTCAACTGGAAAAGATGGAGGGAAAAAGATCTTGAGTACAGAAACCTAAAACAGCCTATATAAAGCCATTCAGTCCTGCAGTACATTGTCGTTGACAAAGACAGTGATTTCTCATGACTTTTCACATGTAAAAGGGTACATCATCATTAAGGGTGCTTTTATGTTCTGAAATGCTAGTAATTTTTCCAATTATTCCCATTTACAGGAATAGCACTACCGCAGCTCTGACCTAATTACCACCTTCGCTGCACATCAATTTCACCCTGATACTCCAGATTCCCCCGCATTAACTGCTAAGAGTCCGTGTGCAGTCTGCAGGTTCAAAAGCAGCTGCACCTTTTCCTCCTTGCAAGCAAACAGACAGACTTGAGGTATCAGCTGTCTCCTGCAAGTATAACCCTGGCACATCCCAATTCCTGCTGTGGCTATTACAAAGTACACACTTGGCAACAGATACAGGATACTCTAACCCCAACAGAAAAAGATTGGAGAGCATTAGGTAGTTAGCTGGGAGGATTGACTGTGGGATCTAAAGCGTATGCAGTGAAAGATACCTTCATCCATGTCTTTGGAAAACCTGTTGAGAATCCGCCCAGTGGGTGTAGTGTCAAAGAACTTCATGGGACTACGCAGAATCCGTCGGAACAGCTCATCATGGAGCCTTGAGGATGCTCTCAGAGTTCCCTGACAAAGCAACAAACATTAAAGTGTTATGACAGGATTTGTGCCTGTCACTGGCCCCTCCCTGCACATGAAAAAATGCTGCCAGTTTTCCCTCTCCAACTGTAAGCATAGCTTCTTTCTTCTACTCCATGCTTCCAACCAGTGGAAGGAAGCTATTAACTGAGGCAAAAGTTTAATGGAAAGCATGGTGCAACCCCAAGAGATGGTTTGGTGGAAACCTCACAACCCATGATCTGACTTCCTCTGGTTCTTAAGTGTCAATAGAGAGGTGACCAAAAGAACCACAGAGACAACAATATGCAGAAGTAGGAGGGGAGAGAGGGGGGTGAGATAAACGTTGGGTAGCACTAGAACATACCTTTACAAAGACAACACCACGAACAGCTTTCAGGATCAACATGACTGCCATAGACAGTGCATAGATGCCAGCATAGTAATGCATGTGAGGGTTATCTTTCATACTGTTACTTATGACGGTGTCATTTCCCAAAGTCACAGTGGTGTTCTGCAGGAAATATGAGGTCTCAGTCAATCGTTGAGGATTAAAAACATACTTATTACATGTGGTAGAACTGAGCTGACCCACTATTTTTAGTACTTCTTTAAAGAAAGGACTTCAATAACCTTTGAATACTTCAGAAAGCTTCCACCAGCAGTGACATGTGCTATTTCTGTGGCATCAAAAACTCCCTAAAAGGTCAATTCATTTGATTCCTAATCTCTCATTTCACACCTATTGTTTCCTGTGTTTTTCTGAACAGTGACACCTACTTACATACCACCAGTTCTATTACACAGGAATATTCAACTTGGGTGTTATACATTGTCTTCTTATCAAATGTCATTGTTTTTCTGCCAACACTCAGTCATTTCTTTATTGGCACACTGTCATATGTTCTCATTGTCTGTGATTTTGATTGTTTTGTGATTTTTTTATTTTTTTTTTAAGTCTTAAGGACTTCATTGTTTATTTTAATGTTGTTGGCCATCTGCACTTTATTACCTCTTCTGAGGAGAGGGTGTTTTTTGGTGTTTGATTTTTGTTGTTTGTTCTCAAAAAAAAAAATCAGTTATATTTGAATATTTAAATGCAGCAAGACTCACAATCAAAGCCTCTAGAGTAGGAAAAATCCCAAACAACCCTCAGTCATTACATTCTTCAAAGCAACTCCCCAAAGTCATTTGACTTAAAGCCATAAAGTATAACCAGATTATCCTGCTGGACATAAGGTCACATTCAAACAAAAGCCAGCACTAAAATCAGCAATTCCTCCTGCAGCTTGTTGGCCTCTTTCACATTTTCACTTCCTTTTCTTAGGCAAACCAAGACAAGGAACAAGAGGGCAGTATAAAACCACATGAGCTATTATATCTTTCTCATTAGTGGAGTTCTGTTTCTTGGAGATGAACTCTCTAGTGTGATCACCTCTTGGGGTGCCTTACAATTTGCTTAAATTAGGAAGCACCATTTGGTCTCATAGGACTGCTCGGGATTAGTCTATGAGAACAATTCCCCTGCCCTTTAAATACAAGAGAGTAGAAATGCTATTCATCTTACTCCACTGCCTTGTTTGATCCAGAAACTCAGCCACCAGTTGCTAAAAGCTGTACTGCCCACATTCAGCACAAACAGAGCCATTATCACGAGGAATGCAAAGGGGCCTCCAGCTGCCTGAATGTAGATGCCATACACAGACCAGGGGACAGAGCCTTTGCCTTTCTCTTCCAACTGAACCAGCTGGCCTGTGAAACAAAAGAGGAGGGAGAGAGTGAAGAAAGCAAAGTTGCTCCACAAAAACTTCTACAAGTTTGCAAATATGCACAAAACTGAAGTAATTCTTACACTGAACAGACTACTATCAGAAACAGGCATTACTTAACACATAGAACTCAATGGTTCAAACCATTTTTCAAGAAATCACAATTCCTCTGCAGAATCATTCATGTCATGCTATATCTGAAAAAGCTGGATCAGCATAGATTCAAACACTATGACCCTTATCAATGCTTTTTAAACCTTGCCAAATTTCAAAGTTAACATAAATGGAGAGAACCCCAAAGAGGTTTCTCTTCTTCAGATTCTTCACATATAAATGCCATGTCCTGCCTAGGACTCTGCAAGTGCCAAGCTACACACGCTGCCCTCCAGATAGGAGGGAGAGGTGGTGTCGGAGACAGGGTACTACAAGTTCCTTTGCAACACTGGCACCTGACCTATGACAGACTGACTAAAGTCATAAACATTATGCTGGCACCCACATTACACGAATTATCAAATGCTCTTTGCCTACTGCTTGTGTCCTATCAACCATACAGAGTGACCAGGACTTGAGACAAGTTTCAAAACCTGCGAGGCACATTCATTACATCTGGGAAGCAAATATTTTGAGCTTATCAGTGTATGAAACAATTACAGCCAGAAATCTGATTACATAGTTACCCTCTTCCTTCTTCACGACTTTCTCCTTCTTCACAGACCCTGCTTTGGTACTTTTATCCTGGGGTCTTTTCAGTGAACTGTTTGTGTTCTTCTTTATATTAATCTGTAGGAAAATGGTGACACTAAACACACTGGAGTAATTTTCTTTTACATTTTCATAGCTGAACCCAAACGTTTTTTCATAAGACTCCTATGCACAAAGGCTTTCAGTAGCTTAGCATTGATTTCAAGGAAGATATTAATTTTGCTGTTATTACAGATGACTACCAACTCTGGTAAATTACATTTTCCTGCTCTATTGAGCTCTACAAATCTGCACTTGTAGTGTGCAAGGTTAATTTCCAGAATCATTTGAAACTATGTGCATACATGGTAAAATAATTATACCCCAACTACAGAGAGAGAGAGACAATCCACAGTTTCTTGTAAAAATAACTCACTATTTTATTAAGAGGCTTTTTTTTCCCCCTCAAACATCCTAATCTCTCTCTCTCAAGAAAGCTCTCAAGAAATGTGTCTAAGGACAAAGTCAGCTAACTCAGAGTTTCAGAAATCAGATGGCCAAACACTAAACTGTACACACAATTATTGTTCTGAACTTGTCTCTCTTTCCACAAAATGGAAATGACCATCTGTTCAGAGAACATAGATTAACTGAAACCCTCCACATAACTTCATGGACACCTTACATGAAATGACACATCTCACATGCAACTTTACTATCCCTTTCTTCTTATCCTATAGAGAATGCAAATCAACACTCCTTCCACGAGCTAGTGTTTACAGAGTGAAGGTCAGCCAAGTATGCAGGCTGGAGAATCTCATGCTAACTGTCATCACATTAACCTTAACATGGCAGAACTATAATCTTCATGTCTCAGAAAGGATATGCAGAGTAACGTATGACATTCCTTTGCTTCTTTCACTAACATCTCCCAGGAGAAAATTCTACCAAGCACCTTCTATCTGCATATTTATCACAATGCTACCTTTTTCAGATTATTTTTTTCCAGTGCTGGCAACTTATGAGTAAGGAGTCTTTCACCACTTAAAAATAGACCACTGGTATATTTTTGTTTCTTACTCCACAGAATAACTTCAGGAAACAAACAGGACAAAGCTGGGAAAATTAAATAACTGAAAATTTAAAAACGGTTCTCGCTAGTTTCTAGGTTTACATTCTTCACCAACAGATGTACTAGCAGACAGACCCAAGTTTGCATTCACAGCCATTGTTTCATAACAGAAACAGTATTGATCAATAAGATTTTTTCTTGCCCTCCCCCCCCCCCCCCCAAAAAAAAAAAAAAGCATTTTCAGTTACACTCCTAATATACAGTTGCATCAGTAACTGCTTTTTCAAAGGCTGGTCCAGGTCTGTATTAATTTGGAAGTAAATTAAGAAGTGAGGTGTACAACAAAAGAGACAAGAAGCTTCCTGCTCTGAGCATCACCAAAGTAAACAATACATTTCTTACATGTTCAACTCATGAGATCACTGACAGAGTCACCTCTACTACGCGTTCCCCAAATAAGAACTGTGACTGCAAATACAACATGCTAATGAAGCACAGATTATTCTACCAGAAGCATACTGGTCAGATCAACATGTGAAGCCATTTTCCAGTCTTCCAATTATGCCATTTGGTTTATCTCATTAGAAAAGTCAGAGTGCTTTAAAATGGAAAAACAAGTACCTCAATATGTGGTGTCTCTCCCAGCTGTAGGTTATTAAAAATGGTTGCATAGTCCCCATTTAAATTCATTAATTCCTCATGACTTCCTCGCTCAGTAATGCAGCCTTCTTTCATGAAGACCACTTCATCACAGTCAACGAGATACTGGTAAGAACAGCACAAAGCACAAACTTTCATCATTACGTCTGATCCACCACATGCCCATATGATCCTTTTCAGTATTTTATAAACTTTTGCACACAGGAGGGAAACACACTGATTCCCTGCTAACAGGAATGTGATTTTTAAAGCTCCTGTATTTACCAGATCACCAAGATTACTCTCACTCTAAAGTTCTCATGTTCTGTCAAAACCAAGCCATTACAGAATACGCCATCCGGAATACTTAAACTCTGCAGATCCTAATACACTAATTAATAATTCTATACACAGAGGATGGCAAAAAAAAATCAGAATATATCGATTCTGATTTACTAATAGCAAAACTAAATGTTTTCTGATGTGATAAACTAGCTTTAAGGCAAATTAGCAAAAGCATTTTTGAACAAGATACTAATTTATCTAACAAATTTTCTTTAGCCAAGCATTACCAGTCCCTATCATACACTAAACAGTACTAGTATCAAGTAAAGAATTAGACTTAGCTCTTTGCATGTTTGCAGCAACTTTGTAAATCTAAACCACACATTCTATAGCGGGACAAGGTTGTGCTCTAACAAGCCAGGACACAGGAATCTCCAGCATGAAGGCAAGTGACTAAACAGCATTTCAAGAAAGTCCAAGAAAGCAAACACAAGAGGTGTAGTACCTGAAGCTGATGAGTGATGAACAGTACAGTCTTTGACTTCAGGTGCTTCCTTATTGCACTGTTAAAAATGTGATTTCCAACATGAGCATCTAAGGCACTAAGGGGATCATCGAGGATGTAAATGCTCCTGTCACTGTACAGGGCTCGAGCCAGACTGATTCTCTGACGCTGTCCTCCACTCAGGTTAGCCCCTCGTTCACCAATCTATACAAACACAAACAGGTTATTTTATTTCTACAGCACTGTGCAACACGTGAACAAGAGATGACTGGAATTAAATAATCATAATATTTCATATGCCTCTGTGTATATACATATAGATGCACGCACACCACATTATATGTATGTTTTATAGTTTAGGTGTATACTTTTTTGTGAAATGTGTTACACAGTCAAACTCAAGGTTAACATGCTTGAAGCGTTACAGTATTTTTTTGCCTACCTAATTTAAATTAAGTTGAAATAGGTGCTATTAAAGCAGTTAAATTTACAGAACAATGAAAAACTCAGGAACTAGCAACATTTGTGCCAAAAACGTGGCACTAGTCTCAACAGCCTACGGCATTGATAAGCTGGAGGCATATTCAGCAGCTTGACTTATATGCATACCAGTTTGATGTTTCTCCTTACTCCAGTCTAATCGGGCAAATTAAAACTTTACTTTTCTCCATCTACTAAATAGTTTACTATAAGCAAAGTTTATACCTCTGTCAGGTCCCCATTTGGAAGGATGGCTAGGTCAGGCCTTAGACAGCAACCATTCAACACAGTGTTGTATCTAAAGAAGATGGATTAAGTAAGTAGTAAGAAGACATTTTCTCCACCCAAAGTGTCTAGCTAGTACAGCATTATTTCACTTTCCACACCAATAGCACATATTCCAGCAGCCTTAAAAAACGATCCACCTTGGATTACCAAGATGAAACCAAGAACAAGCTACTTACTTCTGATGTTCTGGAAAGGTAAAAAGGCAATTTCTTTTCAAGGATTGCTAACACAGGGCCTAGGGATGCCCCCCACTCAGGAAGGGACACACAAGGTGCCAGCTCATTGAAAGGGAGTTGATGCTCTTACACAGGGCAAGGCAAGGACAGCAAGTACAAATATAACTTTAGTGCTGTGAACAGAGGTCAGACAGCCCTCACCGCAAATGAGCAATGACAGTAGCAGCGACAGCCATCAGCCACAGTGACCACAAACACAAGAGAGACGGGCTTTTAAATGAGCCTTAAAGGAGTTTAAAGGCACACTCCAAAAGTAAAGGTAGGCTTTGACTGCAACATACTCTGCATCCCTCACTTGGGCCAAGAATTACTAAGCTTTCATGAAAATCAGCAAATATTTCTGACAAACCTTTCTTCATCATATTCCTTGCCAAAAAGAATGTTGTCCCGAAGTGTAGCATTGAGAATCCAGGCCTGCTGGGCCACATATGCAAACGTTCCACTTACAGCAATGCTACCCTCCAACAAGGTCATCTGGAATTCAAAATCATGCAATAATGCCAGGTCATGTCTAATACAAATAATTGGAAATCAAGAAGAGAAAAGCAGAAGTCAAAACAGAATTTCTCACCTGTCCTAAAATTGCCGAAATAAGTGAAGTTTTTCCACTCCCCACACTGCCACAAATTCCAACAAGTTTTCCCTAGGCAGAAAAAAATATACGGTACTCATTACTTACTTCTCTAACCTTCTCAGAATTTGGACTACCTGTAGTATCTCAGAGTTTACAGTCAGACATTAATGACAGCTGAAAAAGGACAAACAAATGCAAGTCAGCCAATATTTTAACTCTCGAAAAACAAACAGTGAATACCATCCCACTATGGACTAAAACTGAATTAACTCTGCAGGTGAAAATTAATCTATTTTAAGAAGTTTCCCTCTGACTTGGGTCTGATAACAAGCCCAGAGAATGCTGCACTCAGCTGAAAGCACTAACACCTTCCCAAACAGAACTGGTTTCCAAAGGCCTTCCACTGACTTCAGTGGGTGACAGCTCAGACTAAGGAAAAAAACAATCTTTGTAACTTGATCAGAAGATAAAGAAATGACTGCAGCAAACAAAAAGAACAAATTCACAGATAAATAAAAAGTTTCATACAATCAAATTGACAATTATTGGCTGGTGTGATAAGGGGAGAAAAAGATAACACAGAATAAAGGATACGTGTCCATTAAAACTCCCTGCCTATGAGATGCAGTTTGCTAAGGACCACCTACCAAGAAAAAGCTGGAATCCAATCACTTTGAAGCACTTATCTGCAATAAAATGGATGGGCTGATACCTACATTAACCAAATAATGAATTCAGCAAAACTGTTTTTCTTCCTTCTGTAAAAAAAAGTTCAAGTGGACAGCAAGGGTATATAGGCATTTGGGTAACAAGTTGTTACACTCTCATTTACAAGTTTTCCTCTTCTGACAGTAAATTAACCTGTACATTTTCAAGTAAGTATATAATCCTTTTCCAGGTCTATTTATTATTTAAAAATAAAAGTAACTCTTGAGTTTTAAACTATCCCTCTGCTCATACTACAGGACAGTTTAACCAATAATATTCTGAAAAATGCATGGATCCCATTACTACAGCATCCAAATAACAGATTGCAATTTTTTTTTTTTGCATTTGTAAAAGATATCATGTATTAAGGAAGTTCATTTTCTTTGACATTTCACATGCTTATGCCTTACTTGCAATGAGGACTTCAACTGCTTCTAACTTCTTGAAAATCTTTCTTTGTCCTTCCTATTGTGCAAAAATTCTCAGTGAAGAATTAGTTGCATATTCTTCAATGAAAAACCACTGTTATGCTCCATTAGAACACTTAAAAAACACATAAAACGTTCACTGAGAATGTAGCCAAAACCCTATAAAATTGTCAAATGGCTGCAGGAATAAACCATCAACCAACACCTCAACACCTCTGTCGCCCTGCTTATTCTTTAAGTTCAATGCCTCAGACTGTTCTGAGAGCTACAAACAGAAAAAACACATTAGATGTGAAGACTAAATATCCTGCAGTGATTCATAGGCTGTGTGCAAAGATCCCGTTTGCTAGAATGGCACAGCTGTTTACATCAAATCAGACACTGCATCCTGGATACCACAGTTGCCATGGATATTACAGGAGTGCACAAAAGCAATATGCTCCATTTCATGCAGAAATACACAGCTCTCTATTCCAAGGGACAGCTAAAAATGAGGTCTTTTAAGAGCTCAGATTTTCTCCTTTCTTCTCTTACCTTTTCTATCTCCAAGTCAATGTTGTAGAGAGTCCTCTGAAGCCGAAGGTTAACCAGGTGGATGATTCTGTTCTCCTCTTCGGGGCTAGGATGGTCATCATTGTCCACTAGAAGATGGCCCTTCTGCTCTGCCAGCACAGCTTGCTGTCCCTCATTCTGCAGCTTCATTTTCTCTTTCTTGCCCTTGGTTACTTTCTTGTCTTTTTTCACTTTGGGGGTCAACTTTGGTGAGCTCTGGACGCTGGCGTGGGAGAAGTCCCAAGCCAAGGTAGCATTTTTCACCTCTATCGCGGTGTGAGGATTGGCTGGTTTTTTCTTTATCATATGAACCTCTTCCATTAGAAATAAACTCTGATAGGAGTTGTGAGAGAGGTGTAAAGATGAGACACCTGATCAAGACTGGGAGACAAGCCTATGGCACACTCACGCAGCAAAACACATCAGGCTATATAGTGGGAGAAAGCTGAAGAGCAAAAGGTAGCTCATTAGTGTAAACTAACTCCGGGCCTGCTGAGTGGCCAGGGCATTCCTGGATGTGGTGGAAACACTTAGATACACTAAGACTTTTAAAGAACTGCAGTGCTCTGGGTACTAAGAGGAGCTCATTCTGTCAACACTGTTTGCAACTACCACTCTGCAACCTCCAGATACAAACCACGGGAGTAGAATACATGGGTTGCAGAGATGTCACCATGAGCAAAAGTGACAGACTTGTCCTGAGCACCAGCTCATTACAGAAGATGGAATGACTTCAGCCTTTACCCTTAGCCTCTTTGGTTGGGAAAATGCCATCTCACACAAATTTAGCAATGTAGGGCTGCTTGAGAGTAAGCAAGCCACTAAGTCCATTGTATCACGTTTTCCACCGCATCCATCAGTACTTACAATCAACACAGATTAAGAGATTTTTCACATAATTTAGTTACAAGATAAAACGGTTTCCACTTACATAACTCGTGTGTTGAACTAAGCAGCCTGTGACTACAGACTCCTTAACTGTCAGCCTTATTTTACTCCTGAGATTGCTATGCCCAAATCACACATTCGTAAGAAAGCTCATACTCATTTGCAAACTCAAAACACTAGTTACATTTTTATTGTGATATTAGAGTAACCCCACCCTGTGTTACACACCTGACAGAAATTACACTGTTTGTGGACTTGAACTGGGAAGTACTACAATTTCCACTCTTCTCTTCCCCTAAAAATTCCCTCTCGTGCAACTGGACTTAGGAAGGCTTGCTTGTGGTTGACCCAAGAAGAAGATTAAACAAAAATGCTCAGAAATTAATGGGATCTCTCAACCATTCTGCAGATTCCATTCTTCTCACACCCAAATTTGTTTCCTGAATGCATTATACAGAATCCATATAACTTAATATTATGGAATCCTATTTGGAAATTTCTGCCATGTGCAATAGTGGTATGTGCTATTGTCTACAAGAGAGAAGGCAAAATAAAGGCCTGTCTTCTGAGTTCATACTAAAGTACACAGCGTATTCACAGCAATTGAAGGATGAAATAGGATTGTTTCTGTTATCTGGGTTTTAATTTTCTGCCATAGATTTTCTTTAGTCAGGTCACAATTGTATTTTATTCGTACAATGGAACCAGTATTTCAGTCACAATATGCTCTGGAAACACTAAACCTCAGTTTTCATGACTACAAACAAAAATTTACTAGTTTGTGCAAAGTCTGCCCACATAGAACATGACATTTTCAAAAATAATTTCACTGGCAAAATGTGGAATTTCATTGTAGACAAGTTGCACTGCATTTTCATGCAGATGGTCTTAAGAGAGTGCAAGAATTACTATACTGCAAACCATCTAGTCCTGAATCCCATCTCTGACAGTGGCCAACGTCAAAATCCTGAAATCATTGACTATTTTGCTTCCCACACCAGTACTAACTTCAAGCTCTAATATTCTTTGACGGTGTTTATCCCTTCTGAAGAATACAATAATATGGAGTGCTAAGTGTACGGAAAGAACTCCTCATACAATAAAATAGCATCAAGTTGTTCCACTAGCATCTATTATACACATACGACACTCCACACTAACAGCTAAAACTGCAAAACTAAAGGACTGCTTACCTTAAATCTGTCAACGGAAACAGATGCCTCGGATAGAGACTTCACTGAGAAAGGTGTTACTTTTAGAGCAAAAGTCATTGAATTAAAGACAGTGACCACTGTGAATGCCTAAAAAAAAAAAACAAAAAAGAGTGAATGACATTTGGATGCAATATACTTAACTAGCAGTTCCAACCTTCTAAAGGTTGAATTGCCATAGCAGCAAGTCAAAGACATAGAAAAGGTCCACAGTCAAAGAATAACCATTTAAAGATTCAAAGTACTCTGGAACAGCAGAAAACAGTGCATCTACCCAGCACTTTGTAACACAACAAATCTTCAGTGTTAGTAGATCCAATGAAAATATCAGACAGCAAATCCTGCATTAGCCTATTACTTGTGAAGATCCATCTTCATATCCTATTTTAAGTCACAAAGGAAAACAAATCTGTACTATCTGCATCCAAGCATACTGGAAAAAAAAACATCCAGTAATCCCAACGTCCTAACTGAATAGCAAAAAGAAGTGCTGGTTCACATTCATCTCAAAACCTGTTCTGAGAAAGGTCAGGGCTGCAACAGCACAGAGTTTTTTGTGCAAAATACATAACTACATCTGCTGCTGTCACAGCCACCAGATCACCATTTCTGTGAGCCTTAACCTGGCCTGGCCATGCAGGCAAAAAAGAATGAGCTGGAGAGAAATGACTTAACAGAAAAGCTACTGTAGCAATGCAGAAAATAATATTTTCACCACTGCAATAAGCTAACCGCTTACCTGAGCTGCTGTAAGATCGTAGCCAAGGATCATATGGACAGAAAAAGTCACCACACTGGCAATGACTACAACTATGGGAGCCACACCCACAGTGATGCTCTGGAAGTAGCCTGCACGTTCTAAGATTTTACGTTCTTCCTCACGAATCTCTAGAAATACGAATAAGGGCACCAAATATGAAGTATGATTCAGAGGAATATGTATACTTATGTATACACTACCACAGCACTATAAACACTGAGTAAGAGAGACCTAACGCTTTACATGTTAGCAGTTATCACATACATATCCCTCTAAAGAGAGCAGAGATAGAGCAGTAAACTATAATGGTCTGTAAATCTTTGTAAGCCAGAAGTCACCGCATTTTAAAAATGGAACAGTCATCATATTATTATCAAAAATTGGAACAAAATTTAAAAAGTTAGAATTAGAGCAAGATCAAACATTATCCTAGAAAGCAAAACTTCAGAAAGCAGCAAGACTGTTTGTCTAACCCACCATGCATGACAAAGAGCGTGATGGATGAAAGAGTTGTTACACCACATGTAAATCAACGTCTATGTTTCTAACCTAGAAGCACGCACCAAAGCAGCGAGGCATCAGCTCAAAAGGAAACATCTGCAAATTGTGAACTCACTTTGAACATTCTGAGAAAACGGTTTGACCCAGGCATACATTTTAATGAACTTAATATAATTAAGAACTTCATTCATCTTTTGCACACGTTCATCTGTTGTTGATACACATTTTCTTCTGAAATAAGCAGTGAGGCGTGATACAAACATCTGAAACAAAAAGTAACACCATGCAACATTAGTGAAAACTCAAAGCAAGTACATTCAGCCCCTCCTTATTACTATTCAAAGCAAATTTTCAGTCTGAAAAAAGGGTTTCAGAAACAGGCAAAAATATTTTCATTCTGACACAAAAGGAAAGTTAGAAACATTCACATCCATCCAATTTACTCTCACAGCAAATGAACACTAGAACACATTCTAACCAGTCTTTTAACCTGGTCCCATAAGACGAAAGAAAAAGCTGGGCTTTGTACAGCCAGATCAATTTCTACTATATACCTGTGCTAGGACAATAAAACATTATTAACATTTTTACTAAAACAATGTTAAGTTTTAGAGAACTGGTGAAAACAATCAAATGCTACTCTTCATTCCCCTTTTTAAAAAGGTAATTCCCATTATTTTAGTCCTTCCTATTGCACACAAATTACATCACGGTGGACCTGATGGTATTCTGCAGCCATGGTTTTTAAAATGTTTATTATGAATATAGAGATAAAAAGATTTTTGGCTTGGACTAGCCTATTTCACAGCTGAGCAGAAGTAGAGGCAGGAAAATATAGAGAAGAGCACCCTCCCTCCCAGATGTAGCACTTTTCAACACCTATTATTGAATTCAGGAATGAATCTTGACCGAAACATGCAACATGTCCCTGTAGACAAGATGGAGGCCTTTCATCTTTCCAACCTCAACCACAAGCATCTGAACACTCTGCACTTTAATTTAGCTATAAATATTTATCTCAAAGTCAGATCTACTAGCTTTCCTATTTCCATTTCTATTTTTTTTTGTACCATTTCGAGTTCCCCATTTCCAAGTTTCTGCTCCTCACATCATCTTTAGCGATAATTTCAATAATATGCAGTACCATAAACAAGCTTAACCTAGCACTTTTCAACACCTTTATTCAGATGCATATATCTAGACCAAGAAAAATGAAGTAAGTCTTAATTCTTTATAACTTACCATTGCTGGGTAGAAAAGGATGAAGACAGCAGAGCCCAAGAAGCCTGTTGGGCCCAGAATAATTACATTATAAACCATTCCTAAGATGGCCACAATAGGGCCCCCAGCCAACAAACTGCCAACTGCTGCAGCTTCAAACATCCTTTGACCATCATTGGAACATACATTTATGAGCTGAAAAACATACAGAGCGGATTATTTAGATTTAAGGCACAGTTAATTCTCAAAGGAATATATTTACATATCTTTTCTCAGCCAGCAATTTCCAAAATGATACTCAGCTTACCTCGCCAAGAGACTTCTCCTTGATATTCTTCAGCTTGAGAATTTTCTTAAATGCCATTGTCAAGACAGCTCCACGCAGTCTAACCCCCGTGCGGTAATTCAAGGCCCAGGTTAGCGCAAGGGACCAAGATCGCACTATTTCCGTCATAAAGATGCCAAAAACTAAAAACAAGCTGTACTGCAGGTTGGACTCACTCTGTTGGGTATACTCCAAAAGATGTTTCACAACGAACGCCTACAGGAAGAAATGCAAACTTGCATGAACACCCCATCATCCCAGAGGACCATGCAACAACTTTATGTTAAGTTAGAAACAAGTAGGCTACTTTGCTTTTAAGAGAGCCATTTGAAATAGAAAGCGTCTTCCTTCTAGAAGTAAAAGTTGTCAGTACAAGGAATACTGTAAAACAAAGCCCTGCTGAGAGCCAAGCACTGAGCCAAATTTAGTAAGTAAAGAAAGTTTAATTTGGAACCATATTCCTCGCGGCATACTTATAATCCTCTGTGTCTTCTAACTTAACATAAATCTGTCAGTTAGCTGAAAGCAATGCATTGTCATATAGAAGAGTTTTAAAATATAGTCACTACTTATACATCTGAGCACATTAAGAAACATTCCTTTACGTGACATTAAGACCTTTTTATTTTATCTTTGGTTTGCTTCAAACGTGCTTATTTGATAAAAAGGAACAATGTACCTACAGTTGTAGAGGGGAAGAGTGAGAAGGACATTTGCAAAACATTCCTGGAAATAAACATCAGCAGTTTAATAGTAAAGAAAAAAACAAGCAGAAAGCACAAGGTACGCAATACCACAAATCATTGGGGGCAGGGGAAATGAAAAAGAAAAAAAATTAACCATACGATCCCTCCCCATGCCCTCTCCCCCCAGAAACATAACACTTTACCTCAGGAATCACTTTTCAAATATCACCTGCAGAAAGAATGCAGCCCCCAGAACCACTGATTCCCACCTCCAGCTCTTTGTGGTCCAACGGCACATTACAACATCATACAACTCACAATCGCCATCAATATTAAATACTATCGACTGAGAAACAACAGGCTTTTATTTGAAATAAAGTGTCATCTTAAATGGTAACATCTCACAAACACGGTACAACAGGTAAAGCATTGTATAAATGTACAATCTGCACATACAGGGTAATTATAAAGGGTTAATATCTAACAGTCTTAGCCTCTAACAAACTATAACTGAAACTACACACAGAATTATAAAAATGCAAACACAACAGTATTTTTCATGAAGTCCAAAAGATGTCAAACTTGCAGGTGCCAACACGGGAGGCTTCTGAGGCTGCACAAATTCTGAAAACTGGTTTTAAAAGTATGCTATAGTAAGGCTTCACAGATAGCAAAAGCAGATTTCCTAGACAGCTTCTCAGCAAATGATGCTTTAAGATAGTGGTGCTTTCGATACGCTAATACAGAGCAGAGAATTACCTTTGCCCACAACAAAAAGCAACCAAAAAAAAAATTTTTGAGACCAAAGAAAATATTTGAGAAGCCTTTCACATCACAGTTCGTTGAAGTCCTCTTGGCTAAACCAGGTTTTGCAAATAAGAGTTCTGCATAGTTTGAAGAGAGAGGGAAAAAACAAAACCCCACTATTTCAGCAAAGGTATTGAAAGCTACAGCCCAGCACCAAGTAACAGGAAAAAAATGGAGATCAAACTCATCTGTTCTGAGGAAAATAATTCTGCTTGTCAGAACCAAGGAAACATGCTGTAAATAATTTTCCTCTTTCATTTTCATAGGTGTGAATTAAAGCCAGATGTCCATCAGGTTCTAGAATGGCCACTGAGAAAATTTACATATCGATCCCTGAACAAATGTGAGCAGCTCACATTCACAGATCTATTGCATTCCAACTTTCTCCTTATTTGGATTTAGTTTTACATCCACTGTTTGGACCACAACTGCATACAGTTGGTTTGCAGTTACTAAGAAGATTACTGACTTCTTTTTCCAGTATTCAATCCCACATATGCAACCGAGTCACTGAGCATCGGGGTGAAAATGCCCCCTTTTTCCTCACGAGCTGTAACTCAGCATGGTCGCAGACAGCAAGCATTTTCTCGCACACCACAGCATTGCTGAAAGTCTCCAAGAGAGGATGTATAAAGAAAGCAGATGTTTCCTGGGGTCTCATTCCTCCCAAAACTTTTTAGTGCATTTTTTCAGCACTATTTTATAGAATCAGCATCTCCCGTGATGAAATAGAGACCAGCTTACATTATACCCCTTTTTTTTTTTCCAGATGAAAGAAAGAGGAAACAGCAGATTAAAGAATTTTGAAAAGGGAATGGAAAAAGTCACACAATTAACATTTACATCTAAGCACATACTACTGCAATTCAAACTAGTTTAATGAAAAGAATCCAGCATAAAGTTATTTACAGAACAGGAAAAGTTGTAGTACAAAAAACTAAAACTGAATCTAACGGTAAAAAGGAATTCCTGTGACTATTACCGTAGGAGTTGGTACTAGCTGCTTGGCTGTCTTAAGCATTCTCATTGAATAAACTTTACCTTACCTTTGCTCTTGGCGTTGGCTCTGCCCAGCAGGACTGCCTCATTCTGACGCAGAAAACAGCCATCCTGAAAATTCTAAAGAACAGCTTCTGTCACTGGTCCCACTGCAGCGCGGGCATCCCCACTGCAGCCAGCGTGCAAAAACACGGGGCAGGCTGCAACTGGAGCCAACTGGGAAATCGGGAAACTTACCTCCAACAGCTTACCACTCCCCCCTCCAATAACTGACCAAACTGTCAAGCTGTACTCCACTAAGATAGCAAGTTTCCCCATCTCCCAAACAGGAAGAATAATAGCTCTGAACAGTTGCAAACAGGTACATTGTTCAGACCTGGAGTTAAACTGAGTATGTTCGGTAACCAAAAAAATTTATTTGTTCCTCAAAATGAACGTGAAAGTTTTGGTAGCTGATTAAACAGCAGCATAGATTTACTGAAGATAAATGGTATCTCACCTCTACTAGTACATTCTGATGGTTATTACAAGGCAGTCTGACACATGCAGCTGTCTCACCAGGTTATGGGTTTGGATATCATGGCAGATGCAGAATTTATCAAAATAAAATAAAAGGAAGACCCTTGAAGGATCTGATATCACAAAAAAAAAAAAAAAAAAAAAAAAGGAAGTCTACAACAACTCCCATCCAGTTATAACCATCACAATGCCCATTAGCAAAGCCACCGCTGCTGGCTGCCATTTCAAAGTCATGGACACTCATATCAGACTTCAAAAAATTTAATTAATTTTAATTAATGTTTAACTCCATTTTGCTAGTTTTTACCAACACAAGAGGTCAAGTCAAGTGCTTTTCCTGATCTCCCTTTTCACCTTCAGGTGACTGAAAGGGTGTAACAATACAAGAAAGCACTAACACTTCAGAGGAGACAGCATAGGCATACACATGAGGCATGCCATTTAAAAAACAGGGAGGAGGGATGGTAAAGACTCATTTTTTCATGCCAAATATTATAACCATGAGGGAATTGTTCCTTATTCAGAGAAATGAATAAGGTTGCCTGCAAACAGGCAAGGTCTATAGATAATTTTAAATTATCCAAATTGAGCATCAATTGCAACCATAGTTCCCAACCTAACCAAGTTGGTTTGCTGTTTTTTTCCTTCCCTTCCCGCTCTCATCCAGCAGCTTGGCTGAGACAGATCAAGATTACACTACAGAAATTAGGGATACCCTGCTGCAAGTTCTTTGCTAAAGATAAAAGCAGCTACTAAAGCCCTGTAGTGAAACAATGACAGAAGCTCTTCTTGGGGAAAGCTAGCGCTGTTAAAACCTTAAACATGATATGTTATTACCGAAATATGTTCAGACATTTTATAATTAATACAAGCCAAATTATTACCATGAAAACAATACCACAGAAACATTCGTTATTCAGATTACATAAAACAAGGCAAACTTTAAAGACGTATAAAAAGCAGAAGAACATTTTGATAAGACATTTAAAAACTGGAAAACATTTTTAAAAAGACATTTCACCTAACAGTGCACCCAAGTGTACTTACCCAAGAAATGAACCTTCAGCTTACCAGCACACTGAAACGTGTACTACTAGCAGTAATACTGCTCCTACTCCTCAAGGGAAATGTGTAGAGAATAAATTTAGTCAAAATTTCAACTGTAAATCTGCACAGCACGTGCAACAAACAGGTGACAAAAAAAATGGTGTGAATGTCAAGTCCCATATGTTGTTATCTTCATTACGACCCATAGCAACAAACTGCAGCAGTTCCTAAAGGCAATAACATACTCTAACAAATTCTACATAAAATCTGTCTGACCGTCCTCTGTAGCATCAGGAAAGACTATACTCACAGATTTCTGGAAACTTGCTACTTAAAAATGTAGCGCTCTAATAAAATTGTTTGGTTCCATCTCTTGAAGACTGTGCTATTAACGCCAATAGTCTAAGATTAGTGTTTTATCAGACTGAGTTTTATTACAAGATAAACTTACAGAATTTCAAAACAGAAATAAAATACCTGCATGTAAGAATTTTATGCAAAAAGACCACATACCAGTTAAGGAAGAACTTTAAACTATACTCAAAAGCAAAGAGAAAAAACAGGTGTGCATTTCCTCCAAGATATCTAAAGTCCCCCTCCCTTCTCCAAGAACTTGGCCTTGGTATTCAGCAACTGATCCTCCAGCTGTAGGAAACCTATCTTGGAATATCATATGACTGGAATTTTGCCCCAACATTTCTAGCTAGTCAAAACATTTAAGTGATCCTGCAATGAAACCTTAATATTTTACAATTGGCCATGAGATGAAGCCCTCTGGGGTTGTTAAAAAAAGGATGGAAATTACTTACTGGTCCACTAAAACCCGCGAGCTGCGTGATCATCAGACACACTATGGAAATGATGAGTCTGGTGCGGCAGAAAATCCACACAACTCTCCGGAGAGAAGCATCATTGGGCCCACATTCTTTCAGTTCTTCCTGCCACAATCTCTCCAGCCTAAGAAAAACAAAATGCAATTTTCACTTCAATAAAAGGTACAATCTCATAGGCACTTCCCTGTAAAAACTTCAAGCATTTCCCAGCTCAGAGCAACAAAAATTACTAAATTTCAAGAGAAATAAATACATGGTTTATTTTATGAGGTAAAGAAAAATCTCTTCATCTTGAAATATCTATATTGTGATATTTGTACTGAAGAGAGGGACAAAAAACACAATGCCTTTTTTTTTTCTTGCTCAGTCTCTTTGGCTATCTTAAGCTCTGCCTGGCTATCTAAGCTCTTATCACCACCTTTTTTTGATGGTCTGATAGAAGAGCTGTAGAGTTAAAAGCTGAGGAGAATTCTCATTAGTCATAAAAGGTTAATTTAATTGCAAGATTTGACCCTTATTCAAATCATCCTGGTTCTGTATTTTTTCTTCCATCATTTCACCACAAGTTTTTTTTTTCAGTGTAGCCTTGATATAATGTTTTTAAATAAAATTTAAAGACATGAGAAAAATCAGAAAAGCAATTGCAAAACGCTCCTGTAAACAAGATTGAAGTTCACTGAAATCAGCAAGAGTACAGAAAATGCAGCAGGAGGAATTGGTATAAAGGAGGATAAAACAAAATTGCATTATGTCTGAGAAATACAGAACAAAATATCTGTGCTGCATATCTAGGACAATATTATAACTACCTGTGAACTTATGAAAAATGAAACAAAAAAATAATATGGAGCAAAACGTTTCTACCTTCTACAATTGACATCTGAAGACTCATGCCTTGACAAGGACCATACATCATCCATAAATAACTCCCCTTTCTTGTATGCTCTGTGGGCCAAAGGAGTGAGCCAGGAGAAGGTCATGCAGGAGAAAAGCCCAGCATTATCAACAGGGTGCTGGTGTCTAAAAGAAAAAAAAAAAACAGAAATAAGTGAAAAGGAAACAGAATTGCAAATCATTGAGAAAAACAAAGCCTACTCTCATTGAAAATACTCAAGAGTTCCAAATGGCCATGCAAGCTGCATTTGCCAAACAAATTCCAGCATTTCCAGTACCAGTCAGCAGAAATACAGATACAAATCTATTTTTTAACTGGTTTGAAAAGCAGATACTGTATCAGTTCTCCTGCAGCCTCAAGGCTTACTTGGAAGTAGTCCGTATGGGTTTCAGCACATTCAGGCCATGGTGGTATTTGCCCTTGTGATGCTCTTCATCCAGCATTCTCAGCTGGGAATGCACGGAGGTATCCAGTGGGAGGCCCTCTGCGCGAGCAGCTGCTTCCAAGGCATCCTGGCATTCAATCTGCTTTTATAAGAAAGAACAGAGTCAGAGTTCAAAGCTATGCTTAAAGTCCAGGACTCCTGCAACTTTACACCTCTTACTTCTGTAAGTCATTGCAACATCAACCACTGCCATTTGATGTCTTAGAGGACGGGTTTCAGCCTGGCGGCAAAAACATGGAAGGCACACACATCATGGATCTGCATAATGTACATTAACACCAGTACTGCATCTGTATAATAAGTAGATCGATCTTGCATATTGTCACAGGACCAAATGCTTCAGGGAAATGAAATATGATGGAGGAAAATCAAAAAAAAACCAACAACATTAGTTCTTTGTAAATTTGGGGAATCAATGTCTGGTTTATACAGTACAGTTCAGACTTGATGAACTTGCACCCTCTTAGTATAATCTAGATATTCTTACCCGCAGAAAAGTCAGATTATTATCAGAATACTAGTAAACTTCTTTCAAAATACTTTGGGTTACATCAAAAGAAAAATACGTATTATGCAAAATGGTATGTACTTTATCATGTTTCCTGATTTTTCTCTTTCTCCCTAAAGGCAACAAGATGGCAATTCTTCCTGCTCCCAGCCATACATACTTCTCTGTGGCTCAGCAACTGTATTACCAGACATTTAAACGGCAAGCCTTATCTCAGGAGAGTTTTCCCACAGCCCTAGTAAAAGGCAGACTTTACATTCTAATGTAACAGGAGAAAGTAAATAGCAATGATATGGAGAAACCAAAATTTTGCAGAGTTCAAACAAACCTTTTGATCAGAAGCTGGATGTGGCAAAAGTATCTGAGGAGATAAGCTTGCTATCTAACGCTTGCAGAGGGCTCACTGCAGGTCCTGCTAACTTAATGGGCCATCTATTGCAGAGTCCTGTTATCTGTTTGTTTTCTGGTTCTTTGAAATTGAGTTACTTTGTGAACTCTAAGGTAGAAATCTCCCTGGCTGTTTTGTAAATAGAGATACCAGAGAATCTGTAAAGATCATCTCGTCCCACCACCCTGCCAAGGTACCATGCTTATCCTTATTAGTGGCCTTCCCAGGGCAAAGTTATTTCATTTTTTTTTTTTTAAACAACAACTGTAACTGCCTTGCAGCCTCCTAAAAACACAATACCCAAAGCCTTAAATGGCCATCAATAGCCACCCATTGATTCATAACCTTGCTTTGCATAGTTTTTGTCAGAGACTTAGCCTGTCCTATGTTACTATCTAAGCATATAGCACATTAAGACAATTAGCTTCTACTCATGCAAAGGGGCGAGAGCAGGAAATCGATAATGACAGTATAAATCTGCCCTTTGTTTATTTAACCAAGTGGTTAAATAGTGCCTAAGCACTATTTAACAACTTTGTCAACAACCCATGGTCCGGGGCTCAAAAAACATGATCTAAATCTAAAGCATGATTATAAAACAAGCCAGGATAATTAGAAAACAAAAGACCACGACAAGATTCTGACACATGTTGTGCCTCAAAATATGTAACAAAATTGGAATTAAAAGATTTCTCAATTTCTGTTAAATTACTGACTCACCAAGGGCCACACCTCCTTACCAAATCTCCCCTAATCAGCATTAATATGGGAGCTGCCAAAGATGTCTCAAAGGACTCAGCAGGAGGGAAGCTGTGCACCACCACTTTCCTGGATGCAGCAGGAGGAATTCATAGTTAGTTGGCTTCGTTCTGCCACTTGCAAGAGCCCCAGGCACATCTGCCCAAACACCCTGCTCTGTTGACAATATGCTGTGCCACAGGCTATTTGCAGATTCATTGTTTTTCAGAGCACACAGAAAGGGCCTTGGAGTCCAAAAGGAGTCTCCCAAATTCAAAAACATCAGGATAAATGTACAGTTGTTCACCACTTACAAGCGGGAATATTTTTAATAAGAAAGCACAACTGCAAGATCCTGAAGTTTTTAAGCAGTTCAAATATAATGTTCACTCACTGTGAAAAAAAATTAAACTCTCTAGAGGTGCTCAACAGGATTGTCTTAGCAAATTTGGAAAATAAATTGATACATGACTAGGGCACTGCCTCCTAAAGGCCTTTGCAATCTCTTGACACACAGGAAGTATAAGCACAAACCCTAGCTGAGAAGATTCTGCAACTCAATTTTGGCAAAGTTGCCAAAATCCCACACATATGATTATCAAGAAACAAACGCACCACCCTACTGGACAAGAAAGATTACAGGTTTGTGTCAAATTATAAAGTCTCCAAAGCCTACAGTTTAGCAGGGAGAAGTGAGACTCCTAAGCACTTCTACTGTGCATTTCTGGAGTAAAAGCTGAAGTAGAAAAACAAGTCAGAAGCCCAACACATAATTAAAAGTTTATGAACCCCTATCCTTTTTTCAAGTGTTCATCAACTGATGATATCCTGAGCGCCTGCTTGCACACGCAGTTTTCTCAGAAACTAAAATTCTAAAGAAGACTTTAGCAATGCGATGTAACAGGCGCCAGCACTGCTCTTGAAACACGTGCCTCATAAATCTTGTTATTAGCTGCGCTATCAAGGGCTTCTTGTAATTCAGCAGCTTCTCAGCATACCAGTAAAAGCCACGTAACCCTAAAGCCCTGTATTAGTGACGCCCAAGTAACGTTAACAAAAAACAAGTCTAAATCAGAGATTAACACTAACGAGGAGAAAACAAACAAACAAAAACCATTGTCATTTCTTAAAAAACAACAGCTCACTACTCAGCATCATCATAAAGGCAAAAAGACAATGAAGAAAGCATGAACAATACCACACCACTTCCAAAACCTAGGGTTTGCCCCCTTTTTGAACACCAGTCACTACCCCATGCTTCAGTTCAGAAAGGGTGCTATACTTAAAATGACTTTGTATGAACAATGAGAGCAGTTAGGATGGGAACAGCTTCCACTCATGCAGAAATTTAAGACTTTTCAGCTAGTAAAGGAGAGGAACAAAGATAAGGTACTTGAGAGGCCCATAAAGTCGTGAATGACATGAAGAGAAGCAGGGAATGATCACCGGCTGATCTTCCAACAAAAGAACCTGAACACTGGGTGAAATTAATGCTATTCACACCAGGCATGCTTAAATTCCAAATTCCCTATCACAGAACGTTGTAAAGATCAAGCATATAAACGGACTAAAGATGGGAGAATTGAACTCGCACAGGAGAAATACATCACGGCTCACTTAAACATGTGACAGAGAGCAACAGAGATCGTTTACCCAGCATTTTATTCACAGCTAGTGGTCCACAAATAGTTTCTGCAACCACAAACAGCTTCTGACAGAGGGCAAGGGTCCTGCACTCCACGTTAGGTAAAGGTGCGGCACACAGAGGTGCAGGCTGGTAGGATTGAACAGACAAGGGACTCTAGATGAGGAATACAGTTCAGCTTTTAATCCTAACAACAATCCCTGGCTGTATTCTATTGAGCTATTGAGTATCCTGAGGAAGTATTGCTACACATACGATCTTGTTTTG